ATAATCAGCATCATCATCATCAGGTTCGTCACGATGATCGGGTTGCCTTCCGTGGCCACGGCTGCCACCACAATAGCTGCCTCGACTGCCAGCACGGCTGCTGCCACGGTATGCTTGAGCTCCGGGAGTCGGGATATCATCATAATATCCATATGGAAAGTTGTTGGAAATATGGCTATAATTAGCAAAACCCCTACTGCCCATACTACCCATATTGCTCATATTGCCCGCGAAGGGAACTTGTGGGGTCATCTCGGGGTGTTGTATGTGCATGGATGGACAGTAGGTGGCGTTGAAAATACGCATTTGGCGTTCCATCTCTTCCGACCTTTCTCTTGTTCTTCTTTGCTCTTAATCCCGTATCCGATCTTCTTCATCCCGCCTTCGAGCCTCGGCTTCACGTTCCTCCAATAGTTTCTCGAGGCGGGTAACCCGATCATCATATGCCGAATGAGAAGATGAGATAGCTCCTTTGGCCTTCTCTAGGATCCGTACGCCTTCAGAACCCATAAGCGGCACCCGGCCCTTGATCAAGTTCGTCATCAGAATCAGCTAGCTCATCAACTCTCTTCCCCCGCTCTTCCTCATATTTTTTCTACAAGTTCAAAAATTTATTATATAAGAGATAAAAAAAAATCGAAATTTATTGGATTATTGAAGTTTCATTATTTACTTCAATTTCAGAAAGGCGGGGAGGCGGCATGGCACCCTTCTTTGTCCAGCAATGTGCCATGAGTTTCAATGGCGTGACCCGTTTTTTCACGGGTCCAGATCCTTCCTACACGGATTTCAAAGTTAATAAAAAAATATATACATAAAGGTATGGAATGGAAATAATTTTAACTAATTAGAGTTTACCAGATCTTTTTTATGTTGAATTTGGGGTTTGCGGCCCCCGTGCCATTGAACTTCCTTGGCTTTCTCGGAGTTCCGGTTTGCCTTACCCGTTTCGCTTCTCAGCAAAAATGAGGCATCCGTAGCCCAGTGGCGGCAAAGCATCTCCCACACATCATCGCCAAGGAATTTTGGCTTTTTACCCGTAGACCAGGCGGTCCTAAAAGTGGGTCTCAACCACCCAGAAATCCTAGAATTGTATTCTTTGAGAATAGCTTGGTCTAGGGCAAAATGCCACCGATGGGAAGCCTTCATTAAAAACATTGATATATCATTTCTTAAATTTAAGTTATTAAAATGTAACAAAAAAATTTATTTTTACCTTGAACAACCGCCACCATAGTTCACGAGTGGCCGCCGGAACCTCACCATAAGTCGACCAAGGCCCGGTGAAATGACCACAAACAATAGACTTGATTCTATTCAAGACCTCGGAATCGCTTCAAAAAATTGATAATTGATAAAAACAATTGTATTAATTCTTAGATGTAGAGATTATACTATTTTATATTAGAGAGTGTTAGTTTTTTATTACCTATGGATTGATTGAGGTGTCACCTCAAGCGAACCGGGATTGTGGCGCTCTTCTTGAGTGGGGGGGGCGGCATATATTGCACGAGATGAAGGAGGTGCATGAGATGATGCCCCCTCCCCATGTACGCTTATATGAGCGTCTGATTGTTCGGAGGGAGGAGTTTGGACATGTCCGTCATGAGCTTGTCCTTCGTCGGGATTGATATCATCATTGATATCACGATCAGCGTTTGAGGCCCGTCGTGAATTCTGACGCCCACGACGAGCAATGGTGGAAAGGCGGCGTTCGTGCTCACTCATCTAAAATTATTGAGAAATAATATATAGAACATATTAAACTTGTGTTTCATATGAGAGGTCAAATGAGTTTTTAGTTTGATTTTTATGTTATGGAATTTAATTGTGTTAGATATTATTTTATCAAACCTTATAAAATCAATTTATGAAGTTTTTGTGTGGTATGATGGTTTAAACTTAATGAGTTTCCTATTTAGTTATCAAACTTTGAAATATAGAACACATTAAACTTGAGTTTAATATGAGGGGTAGAATGTGTTTTTTGTATGATTTTTATGTTATTGAATTTAATTGTGTTAGGTATTATTTTATCAAACCTTATAAAATTATTTTATGGTGTTTTTGTGTGGTATAAAACTTTGATAAATAGAACATATTAAACTTGAGTTTAATATGAGGGGTCGAATCAGTTTTTTGTACGATTTTTATGTTATGGAGGTAACTTGTGTTGTGTATATTTTTTATCAAACCTTATATAAAATCAATTAATCAAACTTTTTATATTAAACTAATAAAATCAGTTTTTCCATATTAAATTATAAATCATCGGAAATCAGTTTTTTACATTAATTTAGAAAAATACAGTTTATTACATCTTGTATTTTGTATTAATTTATAAAAAACAGTTTTCTAAAATCAGTTTATGGAGTTTTTGTGTGGTATTATGGTTTAAACTTATTAGTTTCCTATTTATTTATCAAACTTTGAAATATAGAACATATTAAACTTGAGTTTAATATGAGGGGTAGAATGAGTTTTTTGTATAATTTTTATGTTATTGAATTTAATTGTGTTACGTATTTATCAATCTTTGAAATATAGAACATATTAAACTTGAGATTAATATGAGGGGTAGGATGAGTTTTTTGTATGATTTTTATGTTATTGAATTTAATTGTGTTATGTATTAATTTATAAAAAACAATTTTCTGATTTTTGAAATCTATAAAATTAATTTTTTCAAAAAAAAATTAAAAATCAGTTTCATTTTTTGTTTATTCATGAAACCTATAAAATCAATTTTTCATGAAACATATGAAATCATTTTCGTATTATATAAACAAAAACAGTTTGTTTAGTTTTTTTATTTCTGTTTTAATATATAAAATACATTTTTTTACTTCATTTCTGTTTTTTACCTTTGAAAAAGTTTATTATTAATTTCTGTATTATTTCAATTATTTCATATTTGCTTATCAAGCTTATCAACAATGTAAAAAAACGACGTTATCAATTATAAAATATTATAATATCCGAAATTATTTAAAACTCAGTTAAATACTCCGAAATTTTTAAAAGCGTTTTATAATATTAAAAAAATATTATAATATCCGAAATATTATAAAAGAAAAATTAACAGTTTCATTATTTTTTTGGGTTAGACATGTTAACTTTTTTGAAAGTGTAACATGAGGGGGCGAAAATTAATGGAGTTGAAATTATTATTCTTAATAAATATCCGAAATTAACAAAAACTCAAAAATAACCTTGACTAACTATTTAATAATGAACTATTCTTAATAAATATCCGAAAAACTCAAAAACATATAAACATTCAATATCTAAGGCATATTTAAAGCATATAAAGAAATGATATACACATATTATGAAACGATAAATCTAAAGCAGGCATTTTTAAATTAAGAGAATGCATATGAATATAGGAACAATAAAATTACGAGCATGCATATGAATATTCGGAAACATATAAACATTAAACATATACACATTTTCAATGCATGATAACTTATTAACATATAAACATTAAATTAAACAATTAAACAATATTAAGAAAAACATGCATTTTATTTTTGGCATTTTAAAACATTTATTCTAAAATATTCGGAAATTAAAGAGTTAGAAACATAACCTCAATGAAGGAGAAGAAGGCAAGAAATTAAAGGGAAAGAAGTGAAGGTCGGCTTCGAAGAACGGCGGCAGGGGTGGAGATAATCCGCGGTGGCCGGAGAGATGTGTGCGGCGGCGGTCGGCGGGTGTAAGTGAGGCAGAAGGGCGGCGGTCGGCGGGTGTAATAGAGGCAGAACGGCGTTTGGGAGGCGTTTGGGAGGGTGGCGGTCGGCGGGTGTAGGAGGCAGAAGTGTTTGGGAGGCGTTTGGGAGGGTGGCGGTCGGCGAGTGTAGGAGGCAGAAGTGTTTGGGAGTAGAGAGTAAGCAGTTAGGGTTTGCTGAAGTTGGGAAGCGTAAGGAAAAAAATGGCTAAGTGTCGTTTATATATTAGGGGTTGTCACGGACCCATCCGTGACAACGCCCGTGACAAATTAATTACGGATTTTGAAATTTGAATTTGTCACGGATTAATCCGTGACAAAAGCATCGGAACTTGAAAACTGCGGAACGGCATTCGAGGCGGCAGGGAACAGCAGACGAGGTAGCAGAACGGCAGGTTGACCGGTTTGTCACGGATCCATCCGTGACAAATCCGTGACAAAATTCAAATTTTTGAATTTTGTCACGGATTTGTCACGGATGGATCCGTGACAAACCGGTGCAGGGAATATTAAAGCTTTTCAGCCTTTTTCAGACGAGGCGTCAGCTACTTTAATTGTCACGGACCTATCCGTGACAAATTTAAGTATAAATATGTGCTTAGAGTCCCATTTTTTCAGTGCGAAAAAATGGCTAATCCAGAACCAGATGTGTGGAAGTTGATCAATAGAAGTGTACAGCGATTAAAACAAGTTACACAGTTGATGAAGCCTCGAAATGCAGAAGCAGTTCAAAGCATCCGTGAGCTAATGAGTAGACCGCTTGAAAGCTTTGGCGATATTGTAGACTATGAATCAGACTCATACAACGTTTCACGAGGGAAAAACTTGCGTAGGACACTTTTACGAGCTACTTGATAGGCCTCTAGATGAAAGTTTTGACGCTAATGAATAATATTGTGTTTATTTGTTTATCTGTATTGTGAGTTGTTGAATGTAATAAATGATAAAAAATTGTGTGTTTTCTACTTATTTTTTAAATTTAATAAATAAATTCATGTTCTTGTTTATTAAATTTCGAATTATTAAAATTTTGTAATGTTAAAAAACTAATAACAAATAATGTTAAAAAACTAATTTCCGAATTTTAAATAATGTTAAATTTCGAATTATTTAAAATTTAAATAATTTTCAATTTTTAAAATTACCTAATTAATTTTAAATTTCCGAATTGATAATAATGAACCACTAATTTTCGATTGAATAATTTTAAAAACTTAATTTTATTAATTAATTAATCGCTATTTTACAATATAATATGGAATAATTATTTTGTTTAGAAATTATAGTTGCGAATTACATACCTAACTATTATATCTTGAAATAATATAATAATGACGAAAGAAAGTTAAAAATTCAAATTAAAATAGTTCAATTAAAAGTAATTACGTTGGTTGTTAACTATACATTTAATCGCTATCAGAATCAGTATTTTCTTGATAGCCAACTTCTTCTTCTGTATCTTCATCATCATATATCCATTCTTCTTCTTCCTCCTGGTCATCGTGCAGTTGTTGTATATATAATTCTTCAATTTCGCGCTCATTTTGAGGTATAGAGGGCGGAAGGTGTGTTTCAGGCATAACTTCAACATCTCCGTCATTTGGGTCACTTAACTGAATGTTATGGTTGACCGTGTCAGCAATAGGCGGAGGTTGGAAAAAATCTTGCTGAAAAGCATCAAAGTCAATATCCTTGTGTTGAGCCTGTGTTACAATTTTGCTCGGACAGATATTAATGGCACACACCCAAGGATTCCGGGTGCGACTCGTTGAAGGATACTCTGCTTAATAAACCTAGGCTGTTTGTTGAGCGAGTATAAATGGCTCATTTTTCTGATACACACGAGAGTGGTTGACGTCAATTATATTATACTATGAATTTTTTCTCACACCACGTGTAGGGTCGACCCACGTGCAGCGAAACAACACGCATGTTAATTCTTGCAAACCAGAAGGCATTTGAAGTTCGAGAATCTCATGCAAGAAACCAAAAAAAAATTGGTTTCCGAGTTATCAGAACCGATGGTCGGGACACATAACCCGCTGTTCATTGTTGGTCGACCTTCTCCATATTCGACTGTGTGATACGTATAACCGTTTATCACATATGAATGTCAAACCTTTGCATAGGAAGAAGGGCCCCACGATAATGATACTAACAGAGGGTCGTTAATCCCACGGTACTTGATCTGCAAATTAAAACATGATAACATTAGGTAATGATTAAAAATTACTAGCTAATAGTATATATAATGTATTTATATATATATAATGTCTGCTGTTGGTACCATAATGCAAAGTCAGAGTCCACCATTGCATCAATTGCATCATCAGGAAATGCTGATAAAGACGCTCTAAATTCACTGTGAATTGAAACATAAAGATATTATTATAACACTCTAATTATTAAAATAATATTAGCTATATTACAAATATAACTACCAATTCGACTTACTTATAAAATGGTAAGATTTCTGGACAATTCATGAGGATGTAAGTATGTGCAATTTTCATTTCTCCGCCCACGATGTAACGGTAAGTCGCAGCTCCTTTACCTCTACCAGGGTAGTTGAAAATAGAAACTACTTTATCATATGAATCCTCGCCAATGTCATCGTTCCAAGCAGGTCTCTTTCTTTTACTGATGACTTCACGCTCAAAATAAAAAGATGAAAACGTTGAAGTTTCTTGTTGAATATATGCTTGAAAAATTGAAGCCTCAATGTGTGCCTTGTTGGTCGCTTTCTTTTTCAAATCTCCCAGAAATCTGTCATGCAAAATAAAATTTGTAAACAAACAAATGTTCTTATTAAACAAATCATCGTTTATAAATGAAATTATGACTAACCTTTCAAATATGTACATCCAACATTAGAAGACGGGCCCTCCATTCAAAGCCTCATACGGAAGATGTATTAGAAGATGTTCCATTACATCAAAAAATGATGGGGGCAGTATCTTTTCCAGATTACACATCAGAATAGGAACAGTGTCTTTTAGTCTCCTCAGGGATTCGGCATCCAAAACGGCGGAACATATCGACTGAAACAACTGACTGATTTCGGTAATACAGCCCAAGACGTCTGCAGGAAGCATCTCTTTCAGTGCAATCGGCAGAAGTCGTTGCATGATTACATGAGCATCATGAGGTTTCATGCTCGACGTCATTGTTTGTTTGTCCAGGTCCACGCATCTTGACAAGTTAGAACAATAGACATCTGGAAAGTTCAGAGAAACAAGCCACTCTGATATTGATTCCCTTTGTGGGGCTGTGAGTTGGTAGACTGTTCTTGGAATTTTTTTACCCACGTATTCTAGATCGACGGCGAGTTCGGGTCTGTCGCACCAAATTGTCATGTCTTTTCTAGATGCAAGACCATCTTTGGTTTTGTGAGTAAAATCCATAATCGTGTTAAATATATTGTCAAAAACGTTCTTCTCAACGTGCATGACATCTAAATTGTTACGAATGAGAAGGTCCTTCCAATACGGCAACTCCCAAAATATACTCCTCCTTGTCCACTTATGGGTATCACAATACCCATTTGGCTCCCCGTGGGGTTGCTGCACGGCCGTAGGAAAACGTCGAACCCGGTTAAAAACTTGTTCACCTGTAAGTCTTGGAGGAGGGGGGTCTCGTACCACTCTTCCGGCAATAAAAGACTTCTTGTCCTTTCGATATCGATGGTTCATAGGCAGAAACTTGCGGTGACAATCAAAGTAACTTGGTTTCCCGCTAAATTTGAGCCAATTGGCATCTGATTTCTCCATACATATCGGACATCCCATAAGACCGTGTGTGCTCCATCCTGAAAGCATACCATAAGCAGGGAAGTCGCTAATGGTCCAAATGATGGCAGCTTTCATGATAAACATTTGATCTCTTGAAACATCATAAGTTGATGTCCCAATGGCTCAAAGTTCTTTCATCTCCTCGATCAGGGGTTGGAGATAGATGTCTATCCTTTTTTTAGGATCTGAGGGATCTGGACAAATTAAAGTTAAAAAGATGAAATGACTTTTCATGTACATGTCGGGAGGAAGATTATAAGGAGTTAGCATGACTGGCCAACATGAAAATTTCTTCCCAAACTTTCCAAAAGCAGCAAATCCGTCTGAACACAATCGCAGTCGCACATTCCGTGGCTCCATTGCAAACTGAGGATGACAACGGTCAAAATGTCTCCAAGCTTCACAGTCGGAAGGGTGAGACATCAAACCCTCTTTGGTTTCGTGCTCAACATGCCACGTCATGTGTTTCGCAGTAGCATTTGAAGCATACATCCTCTTCAGAAAACTATTTTTTATAAATTAATACAAAATACAAGGTGTAATAAACTGTATTTTTCTAAATTAATGCAATAAACTATTTTTTATAAATTATAATTTAATATGAAAAAACTGATTTTATTAGTTTAATATAAAAAGTTTGATTAATTGATTTTATAAGGTTTGATAAAAAATATACATAACACAAGTTACCTCCATAACATATAAATCATACAAAAAAGTGATTCGACCCCTCATATTAAACTCAAGTTTAATATGTTCTATATTTCAAAGTTTTATACCACACAAAAACACCATAAAATAATTTTAGAAGGTTTGATAAAATAATACCTAACACAATTAAATTCAATAACATAAAAATCATACAAAAAACTCATTCTACCCCTCATATTAAACTCAAGTTTAATATGTTCTAAATTTCAAAGTTTGATAAATACCTAACACAATTAAATTCAATAACATAAAAATCATACAAAAAACTCATTCTACCTTTCATATTAAACTCAAGTTTAATATGTTCTATATTTCAAAGTTCGATAAATAAATAGGAAACTGATTAAGTTTAAACCATTATACCACACAAAAACTCCATAAACTGATTTTATAAGGTTTGATAAAATAATACGTAACATAATTAAATTCAATAACATAAAAATCAAACTAAAAACTCATTCGACCTCTCATATTAAACACAAGTTTAATATGTTCTATATATTGTTTCTCAATAATTTTAGATGAGTGAGCACGAACGCCGCCTTTCCACCATTGCTCGTCGTGGGCGCCAGAATTCACGACGGGCCTCAAACGCTGATCGTGATATCAATGATGATATCAATGCCGACGAAGAACATGCTCATGACGAACATGTCCAAACTCCTCCCTCTGAACAATCAGACGCTCATATCAGCGTGCATAGGGAGGAGACTTCAACCTCTCATTCACCTCCTCCATCTCGTGCAAAATATGCGCCCCCCCACTCAAGAAGAGCGCCACAATCCCGGTTCGCTTGAGGTGACACCTCAATCAATCCATAGGTAATAAAAAACTAACATTGTCTAATATAAAATACTATAATCTCTACATCTAAGAATTAATACAATTGTTTTTATTAATTATCAATTTTTTTAAGCGATCCCGAGGTCTTGAATAGAATCAAGGCTATTGTTAGTGGTCATTTCACGGGGTCTTGGTCGACTTATGGTGAGGTTCCGGCGGCCAGTCGTGAACTATGATGGCAGTTGTTCAAGGTAAAAATAATTTTTTTTTGTTACATTTTAATAACTTAAATTTAACAAATGATATATCAATGTTTTTAATGAAGGCTTCCCATCGGTGGCATTTTGCCGTGGACCAAGCTATTCTCAAAGAATACAATTCTAGGATTTCTGGGTGGTTGAGACCTACTTTTAGGACCGCCCGGTCTACCGGTCGAAAGCCAAGATTCCTTGGCGATGATGTGTGGGAGATGCTTTGCCGCCATTGGGCTACGAATCCTGCATTTTTGCTGAGAAGCGAAACAGCCAAGGCAAACTGGAACTCGGAAAAAGCCAAGGAAGTTCAATGGCACGGGGGCCGTAAACCCCAAATTCAACATAAAAAATATCTGGTAAACTCTAATTAGTTAAAATTATTTCCATTCCATTCCCTTATGTGTATATTTTTTTATTAACTTTGAAATCCGTGTAGGAAGGATCTGGACCCGTGAAAAAACGGGTCACGCCATTGAAACTCATGGCACATTGTTGGAAGAAGAAGGGTGCCATGCCGCCTCCCCGCCTTTCTGAAATTGAAGTAAATAATGAAACTTCAATAATTCAATAAATTTTGAATTTTTTTGATCTCTTATATAATAAATTTTTGAACTTGTAGAAAAAATATGAGGAAGAGCGGGGGAAGAGAATTGATGAGCTAGGTGATTCTGATGCCGAACTTGATGAAAATCAAGAATATGAGGCCATCTTGGCGGCAACCGGAGTTTACAAGAGCCGGGTGCCACTTATGAGTTCTAAAGGCTTACGGATCCTGGAGAAGTCCAAAGGAGCTAGCTCATCTTCTCATTCGGCGTATGATGATCGGGTTACCCGCCTCGAGAAACTATTGGAGAAACGTGAAGCAGAGGCTCGAAGGCGGGATGAAGAAGCTCGGATACGGGATGAAGAGGCAAGAAGAACGAGAGAAAGGTTGGAAGAGATGGAACGACAAAGGCGTATGTTCAACGCCACCTACCGTCCATCCATGCACATACAGCACCCCGAGATAACTCCACAAATTCCCTTCGCGAGCAATATGGGCAATATGGGCAGTATGGGCAGTAGGGGTTTTGCTAATTATAGTCATATCTCCAACAATTTTCCATATGGATATTATGATGATACCCCTTTATCGGCTCCCGGAGCTCAAGCATACCGTGGCAGCAACCAGGTTGGCAATCGTGGTGGCAGTCGAGGCAGTCATCGTGGCAGCAGCCGTGGCCACAGAAGGCAACCTGATCATCGTGAGGAACCTAATGATGATGATGATGATAATGACCATTGATGGTTTGTAATAACTAGTTTATTGACATTTTAAGTATTTTTAAATTTTGATGGTTATGTATGAATATTAATTATTTGTGTTATATAATGATGGTTAGATTGGTTTATTATTTATTATGATAAATAATGTTTAATGGTGATTAATGATGATTAATGATGATTGTTTAATTATTTATTATAAACAATTATTTATTAAGATTAATGATGATTGTTTAACTATTTTTTAAAAACAATGTTTATTAAGTTTAAATTTTTTTAAAAGCGCCTAAATTTTAATGGTTATTATTTATTAAATTAACTTTTGAAATAAACATTCAAAAAATTAATGCGCTGAATTTTAAAAAAAAATTAAAAATTAAAACTTTTGTCACGGACTGTTCTGTGACAAAATATAAATTCAGTTTATTTTAAATACCCAAAACGCTGAAAATAACGTATGTTTTTTTAAAAAAAATGTTTTGTCACGGATGAGATCCGTGACAAGTTCAAAATTTTGAATATTTTTTTGAAATTTTTAAAGTACCCCGCCCACCTGTTTCGAAATTTTTCAAAATTTTTCAAAATCTTTTTTCACGGATATGTCCGTGACAAAATTAAAAATTTGAATTTTTCAGATCATTTCAAATACCCGCCCATTCTATTTCGAAAACCTTTTTTTTTAATTTGTCACGGATATTTCTGTGACAAATAATTATTTTTTTTTTGAAAAATAAAAAAAATATTCACGGATGTGGCCGTGACAAATAAAAGGCGATGGAGTTCCGGTGAATTGTTTTGTCACAGACGGTGGCCGTGATAAATCCGTGACAAACGGTCTCACGGATTAATTTCCGTGACAAAAACATTATCACGCCCCTGGTGTCACGGATTTTTTCCGTGACAAAAAATCATTTGTCAAGGATTTTTTGAACTACCGTCCGTGACAAAATCCGTAACAAAGAGCGAGTTTTTTTGTAGTGTAAAGTTTTTAATGACGACTTTTTCTTCGTCGTCAAGTGGTCATTACAGGTTCCGTCGTTATTGGTTTTAGCGACAATGTTCGTCGTTAATAATTAACGACGACATAAGATGTCATCGTTACTTATTAACGACGAGATATTCACTCGTCGTTATATTTTAACGACAACATAATTTTTCATTGTCGTATAAAAACGACAAGATATTCCACCGTCGTTAATTTTAATACTCTTTGTTAGCATCATTACGTATCAATTATCAAATAATGACAATGTTTTAATAACAACCGATGCACATACAAACCCCACTTAAATATCTCTCCCTATATGTAAATATTATTTTTTCACGATTTCGTAATATCATTAAAATATTTTGTCATTCATTAAAATTACATGAAATAAATTCAGTTACTTGTACATTCAACAACATATCACTAACTTATAATTTTCCAATAAATTCCATTATCAAAAAAGTAAAAATCTTTTACATATAACAATAATAATAAGTTGACACAATATAGTAGTCATCCTCATAATCTAAATAAAATCGCCATGCTTAATTGTCAAACATGTCTCATCAACTATATGGAAAAGTGAATAATCGAGTGGGGATGAGTTCATACATTCTGCAGGGCACTACGTACCTATGAATTCAGCGGTGTTAATTAATTCTACAAAATTTAGATACTCGGTGTTATCGAAATCGACTGAATCGGCTGATTTTGCTGAAATTTATGAAGTTCTGGTTGAAGTGGCTGCATTGACTGATTCTGCTGATTTATGAAAAAATTATATTTAAAATATATTTTACTAATTATATTTAAACTATATGGATGCCTGAGACCGATGGAATTTTTTCATTTAAATCTGCATACCATGTGGTCAGAGAGGAACAGACAAGTACATTCTCTTTAAGACATGCTTGGCACAGTAAGCAGCCTATGAAAATTAAGGTGTTTCAATGGAAGAGTCTTCACGGGATTCTGCCTATCAGGCTATCACACATAAACTTCAAAGGTTTAACAAAATCATTAATCCTTCTAGGTGTCCATTATATGGACCATTTATTCTTTAATTGTGAAATGGTGAGGCCTATTTGGGCTTATTTCATGGATATTCTGGGTATACCTAGAATCAATTATGCTTGCACAATTAGACAAGTTTTTATCATTTGGTGGTTGAAGGCTGGGAACACACAATTGGTAGACATTTTCAGGCATAATTTACCTGGAATTATCAGTTGGCACGTGTGGAAAATATACACTGGCATAGTTTGTGGAAAATATCCCTAGTTTCCTTCCACCCCAGAGAAAATCATTCTGCATATTAAATTCTTCACCCAATCTTGGGTTGCGAGTTTCCCTAAGCTGAAATTGAGAACGGTTGGTGAGATTTTGTTTCAAGAACACCTTATACCTAAAAAATTTAGACGGTCTAAGCCAAGGAGTTTATATAAGTTGAATATTGATGCTACTTACCTTCATGGGAGATCGGGAGGTGGAGCTATATTAAGGAACCAGCAAGGAGAGCTTGAAGCGGCAATCTCTTTTCCCGTCGATGCCTCCTCGAGTCTTGAAGCGGAGCTTCTTGCTTTGGTCGTTGCTACCCGGTGGGCGATGGATGCCGGATACTCTCATTTCCAGGTAGAAACTGATGCAACGATTCCCCTCTCTTACATCTCGAATGTGCGGCAAGGAAGATGGAGCGATTTGATTCAGGAAATGTTACTATCTGCGAATAGGAAAGAGGTGGTGTTTGGGCATACCTAGTGGGAAAATTTGAGCTGCTCATTATCTTGCAAAATCTTCCACGGCCCATTTCCTTAATTATAATCGGGCCACTGATTTGCCCATTATGGCTAATTGGTATTTAATTGGGCTACTTTATGGATTTAATTGGTATTCCTTCATGTGGTAATTACCCGTTTGGTACCTTTTTTAGAGTTGTCTTTCATTTATGTCTCAACTGTTTTGCCTTTTCATTATTAGACTTTTACAATTTCAATTTTATTTTTTTATTTCACCTTTAGACCGTTTCTGACAACCGCCCTCCACGTTCTACGAAATTCGCACCTTATTTCACCTCTTTCCCGTTTTCATTTCTCTTACTTCCCGTCTTCCAACTTCGCATTTGATCTGCTTCGTATCTTCATCTTTAATTCGTCTTCTCCGTCGCTTTTGTTCTTTCAACTTTGTCTGTGAACTCTGTTATTCCTTTTTCCTCAACAATGTCAAGTTCTAATACTTCTCGTCGTATTACGAGAGCTTCTTCTGCGATGAATATTGGTGGAACAACTTCTGGTCCTCAGGATGATTCCGCTTCACCGTCTCGTACTTCAAGTGCAAATGTCACTGGTAAGAAGCGAAAAAATAAAAAACCTCTGAAGGCTCAGAAGAAGTCTAAAGTCTCTGCAAGTAACATTAATCCTCCGTCATTTAAGGTAATTATTTACATTTTTGTTTATTTTTTATTAGTGTTGTATTTTTCACATAAAATTTCTCTGCAAGGAAAAATATATTAGTGAGACTTCTCTGGATGTTGTGAATTCTGGTCTATGGGATACCTATCCCTGGGGTAAGGACCTTTTTGAATTCACTTTGCAAAATTTGAAAGGAAGACTTGTGAGGGCAGATACTTCAGAAAGTGATTACTTCTTTTACCGTATTTTGGGATTTCCATTAGCTCTTCAGGTGTGGTTTTATGAGTGTTGTGATTATTGTAATGGCGTGTTTGCTTTGAAATTTGGTTCTTTAGTTCCCCGTTTATTGTCTTGGCAATCTTCTGTTGCATTCAGTTACAAGAAGTTGAATATGGAGCTTCTTTGTTTATCTGCTTCTCAGGTATTCTTAAAATTTTATCTTCCATATCTTTTTATTGTTTTTCTATTATCTTTTTCTTTCATTAAATTTATTTTCTGTTTTTTCTTTATTTGGCAGTTGATATTGCACAACATTGTTATTACTGATCTTGAAAAGGAATCTGTTGAAATAGCTTCTTTGTTTGCTGCACATCCGATAAGGACCCAAACTATGCCTTGTGTTTCAAATTCTAACCACGGACCTAGTACTTCTTTTGGTGATCAGATTTCAAGCTCTGTTCTATTCGATTTTGAAAACCGCCTTGACAGTAAATTGACTGATTTCAAAAAGTTTGTTGAGGATAGGTTTAATGTGTTAGAACAGAAGCTTGACCGTGTTGCTTCATTTTATCATGTTCAATCTAGCAAGGAGACAGTTTCTCAACACACTCCTATTGTACATGAGCCACTGATTTCAAATGATGTTTGTGGTGCTGCTAATACAAAGGATCTTTCTGATGATGATGTTGTTGGCACTGTTGATCTTGATTCTGTTCATTTAGATCAAGCATTTAATTATACTGACTCCAGCGGGGAAGCTTCAGACCATGAACCAGTTACGTTTCTGTCTCTTTTTATATTGTTTCTTTATGTTTTACTTTTGTAGTTTTTTGTTTCACTTTTTTTCATTTTTGTAACATGTTTTGTTTTTATTCTTATCAGATTGCAGATGAACCAGTCAATTATACTCACTCTAGTGCCCAGTCTTCACATAATGAACATGTTATGTATCTATCTCTTTTTATATTGTTTCTTTATGTTTCTTATTGTTTTTTGTTTTCAAATTTGTAATCTTCTTTGTTGTTATTCTTATCAGGTTGCAGATGATGCTGATGTTATTACTAGTCATTCACAAGACTCCGTGTCTCATACTTTTACAAATCTAATTTCTTCACAGGATTGTGATGTGTTATTGCATTATGTGCATGATATTGTTTTTTCTACGGTTACTGATTTCATGTCGGATGAGAATGATATTGTCTTGTTGGATTTTCTCCAGAATACTGTTTTTTCAGTTGTTACTGAGACGTTGTCTCTTGAACATGATGCTTTGTTGTTGAAATACGTTGAGAAGTTGGTATTTTCTACTGTTGGTGAGTTGACTTGTTCTGAAAATGATGCTCTGATTTTGGACTATGTCTACAAGCATGTTTATTCTACTGTTGTTGAGATGATATCTACTGAAAACCAATCAAGTGAGCATAGAGTACATTCTGTTTCTAATGAACCTCTTGAGGATGATGCTTTTTTTGCTAAACTTGATTCTCTTGTTTCAGATTTTCAAAAATCCAAGGTATATACATTTTATTCTTTATGCTTTGCTTGTATATCTTATCTTATCTTGCTTCTGATATTGTTTTTCATTATTTTGCAGTCTTCTACCAATGACCCCCCTTCAGGTTCTTCAAATCCTATAAAGGATTTAGTTCCTTATATCCCAAGTATTCAACCTTTGTCAGTAATTCATACACCTGAATCACTTAAGAAAAAAAGGAATGTAAGGCCCAGTGTTTTTGTGAAATCCCATTTTGTTGGTGAGTTTGATTCTCGAGGTGGCTCTTTGAAGACATTTGTTACCCCCATTGGATGCCCTTTTGTTGATGAAGCAGACTGTGTGCCACTGTCTTCAGTTCTTGAATCATTTAATATTTGGATTGATGAAGGGGCTTATAAGCGCAAAAGGTTGTTTTAACATTAACATTCATATTATATTTTATACAGTTTATTATATTATGCTTTTTAATGTTTTTTATCCTTTTGTAGATCCAATTTGATGTATCCTTCGAAAGTTGATCATCTCAGTCCTGGATTCAATTTTACTGTTGCTTTTGTCGAATCAAAGACATGGTTTCACCAGCTTCATTATATGGGGCAGATGATATCAGATTCTGTATGCTTATTAACGTTTTCAAATATATTATTATGTTTTCTTCGTATTTCTTTATTTATTTTTTGATATTTTCCTTTTTATGCAGCATATAGATGTGATCTTTTATTACTTTAGGAAAAAGGCTCAAGTTACTACTACATGCAAAACTAGTTTCACAACAACGGATTCTCTTTTCAATCTTAAGCTACAGTAATCATATGCTGCAACTCTAGATAAGTCTTTTTCTTGGTCGAGATTTGCATCTCTATGTGATTATATTGTAGGCTTTACCTTGCCCCGTTCAAAGTCTTGGGATGAAGTGGAGCATGTTTTGATGCCAGTTTACCTTAAGAAACAAATGCACTGGGTCCTTGCGAGGTTTTGCATCAATGATTGGTGTATTTATATTTACAATTCAATGATCAGCTCAAGGGATAGAAGTAATGCTATACGTGTTGTGAAGTCATATACTGTGATGCTCCCTTTGATTTTTCGACACATGGGTTACTTTGCTAGTCGTGGTTTGGATCTAAATAGGGACTTAGATTTGAAATATGTTTCTGACCTGCCTGTTCAAGAATCAACGTAAGTTCATTTATCTGATTCAAATGTTTTTCTTTTATCCTTTTTATCATTGTAGTAATAACAATCGTATTGATTCTGGTTATACTCTTTGTAGTGACTGTGGGGCTTTTGTTACTGCCTTTGCTGAGCATTTCATTGATGGCAAAGAAATTCCTCCATTTTTAGATATTGAGCTGTACAGATCTAGGCTATCATTCTTTCTCTATCAATATGGAATATCTAAGCTTAATGGTGAAGTGGAGAGTGATTCTGAACAACGCAAACCCAAACGGAAGAAGCTGAAGAAGTGAAATATATATGTAGGAAGCACTAATGTAGTTTCTGTACTATGATGTACCTTATATAAACCATAAGTTCAAGTAGTACTTTGGAAAAGCTATTGTTGTACTGTTTTGATACTACTCTTGAATATAACTCCTATTGTTACATTTATTTAGATTGTTTCTTTATGTTTCTGGAGATCGTTTAATATTGTTTATATTTGTTTCTTCATTTCTTATATCATATGCCATTTATTTAGTTTTTAGCTTTCCTTATGTTATGTAAACAGTTGTTGCATTCTTGGTGCTACAGGTTATTGGTTTTTTTTATTTGTGTTTTGTTTAAAAAATTAATATTTGTTTCTCTCATTTTGCTTTTGTTGTTGCTTGTTGTTTGATAAGTTGTTGTACTGTATCTAGTTAGATATTGTAGATGTTAAGTAGATTGATGGATGGTCTACCCGGGGGTATATATCCGAAGGGTTATTACGGGGAATATTTTAGAGAGAAGTCAGAGCAAGTAAACGTAGAGAGAGAGAGAATGTATTATCAATGTGGAGCGTTTTCAGCGTGGTATCACTTGGTTACAAATGGGGAAATGGGGTGCTATTTATAGTAGCAATAAATGCCGGGCAGGGACACGTGTCAAGCGCTCATTGGCCGAGGGGTCACCTCAACTGGTTGGCGCTGGCAACCGCATGTGGCCGCATTCAATGCGGCTGTTGGATGGGACGTCTGTGCAGGGTACGATGATCTGCACGCATGTGAGGCGGATATCTTGTCGAGTGAGATGCCTTCGGCTATAGAGCAGTAGCCGAGGGCTCTTCCACCCGATGGCACCCTGGTGCCGAGGGCTACTGTTTTCGCCGTTTTCTCCCAGTTTCTTAATTTGCTTGAGAAACCCGTTCTGTGAGAATTTAGAGCCTTCGGCCGGGGGGCCGAAGGCACCCCTGGCGCATAGTGCGGGCTGCTTGGTACTCTGGGCGCTGTGATTTGGGCCTGTTGGGCCTTTGCTGGAGTAGTAGGAGTCTGTGGGCCGGGGGTTCCCGGGCCATATACTCCATCAGGAGTCCCTCACTCCTTTTGCCGAAAGGTACTTGAGGGAAAAGGAGTAATTTGTGCTTGCCCTTTGATGTTGTCCCGTCATGATCTCTGAAGTTGGTGAGGAGTTGTTGCTTTTATGTCCCTGCCGAAGGCAGTCCCTCAGTTACCCACAT